CAATAATTACACAATAACATATTAAGTGTTTGGGCATAGAAAACAAGTAAATATAGAGCAAATAAATAATTATTTATATAATTTCTCACTGATGAATTTTGTTCTCGTTCATGGCACATGTGAGGACCATCTTTGCTATTATACTAATGGATTAACCTTTATTTCAACCCAAGGTGATCCCATATGTCGCCCAGACTTTATAACACGTAATAAGGGGATGCTCACTACTTCCTGCACATCACCTTCCTCTTCCATTGTTGTGGAGGTTTTCGCTTCCTCTTCCATTGGTGTGAGGGTTTCTTATTCCCCCTCCATGGGATTGTGTTTTGCAAAAGATTGCCAAGGTGAGTTTGCTTATCGTGTAGGGGTTTCGTATTCCTCCGCCACTAGTATGAGGATTTTGTCTTCCTCCTCTATTGGACGTTGTTGTGCAAACAATTGTGAAGGTGGGTTAGGTTGTCGTGTGGATGAACTAGGTTTTGTAGCGAGGCTTTGTGAGGATCTTGACTCCCTACCTTAGCCTACATTGTGCCATTGCTTCCATTTTTTAAACACTGTAATAATTTTAGATGCCAACTCCTAACAATTTTTAAAAAGTTTTATAAATATATATAAGTTAATATATAAATGTAACCATAGATTTACAAGTAATTGTAAATATACAAATTTAGCCGTATATTTGGAACTAATCATAAAAAGCCATGATTGACATGATTACCTTATAATCGTCATCTTCTTATGAGTTGCAAATTTACCTCAGCCAACCGAAACCATTATATTTACGTTTCTCTAAATTCAATCTCTCGCTAATTAATTTGTTGGACCATCCGTGTAGGAATGAAATCTTAGCCATCGGTTTTGGGCCATTGACATCACACGATATAGGTAGGAAAGCTAAAACATATAAACCATTATGATAATGACATCATACCTATTTGAAATAAAATGAAAGACTCATTACAAATATTATATCTTATAACATACCATGAGAAAGACAAACATTCATGTATGTATTTATAACTTTCTCTTCCTTCCTTTCCTTTATAGGACGCAATGCCTTTTCTCAACCAATCTAAAACAAATTTCCCCCAATTGTACGATTTAACAGCATCCACATCGTTAACCACCCCCAATAACTTTTTGCTTGTCTCGTTTTTTGATATGGGTAATAGAAGTGATCCGCAAGCGAAAAGCATAAAAGCCCTCTTGAAGTCATCCCCAACACGAAGAACGTCCAATTGATGCACTAAGTTTTGCATTTCTACTACACTGCTCTTTACAAAATTACCATTTTCTAACCAGTTCACCTTTTCTACAATATAGCTTGGCACATCTTCTCCTCTTCCCGAGGGTAAGTCAAGCACCTCTTCAACGCCACTTGGCGTAACAAGGATTCAACCGCCACACTCAAGGGTGAGATAGGATGTTTTAGGATCAAAGTGTTCTACCAACCATGAGCACAATTTGTGCTTCAAATTGGTACAGTCAATGTCTAAAAGAGACCTAAACCCAATCTCTTGTACGACCACCTTTTTTACCTCACTTAAGTTGCATATCGCTTCCTTGAAGACCACTGGGTATTCAACATCTATACATAAATTACCAACAAAGACACATGAGATAGAAGAGTTGAAAACATAAAACAAATTACCAATTATGAGTACCTAGTTGAACTTTATACATTGAATTTTTTTTTTTTTTGGTAAATTCTATAAAGGGTTTCAAATGTACTTATGGTGGAGGAATGAGTAAATTTAAATTTTTATATCTAGACATAAATAATTGGCATCATAAGTGCAAGTTTATGGAGTTCCCATGGCAAGAGTCAATTGTTTTAATTTTTTAATGCATGATATTTGACTACACTACAAGAATTTTGGATATTAGGGACAGATTATTGAGGACGGTTTTAAAAGCCATCTCAAAATTTATCCATTTACAGGGGTATGCTTTACAACAAGGAAGGATATGTGTTGACAGATTTCAATTAAATAGATCAAGGAGTACAAAGAATTGTTGATGAAGATTTGGTGGAATGCAAGACAAGCTTTGGTGGTTTTTATGTATGTCTTAGGTAGGTGCATGCAAGTTGGAGTAGGTGTCTTGCTAGCATATTGCCACCTACCTTCCACTACTAAAGTCTTCAAAATCACATAACAAGCTTATAATTAACTGATAATATGGCCCCAGTTTAAGGTACAGAATTGATGAAACATCACATATTAGACCCTGGGTAATTAGATCGTAGTGCCTGCTACCCAGTAAAAATTCCAAAAGAGTGAAGTATGCATGTCAAAGGCATATATATACATCCAATAAGCATATCATTTATTTCAAATTTACTATACAAATACACATAAGAACAATTCAATTCTTACATGGTTGCTCTAATAAATGACCTTCCCAGGCTAGAGTGCTATTTTTTTTTTTTTTTTTTGATAAGTAAAATTATATTAGAAAGCGTTCAAAAGGGGAACGCTTCCCTAGAGCTATACAAGAATCAAGAACAAAAGAAGAAAAGGGAAGACCTGTGGAGGCTAGAGTGCTATTTTAAAATCACCATGTTATACTAAGATATAGAAGCGTAACATCAAATAATTCAATTTACCCAGCCATGTTCCTGTTTCTTTAATTTGGCGACATGCATATGAGTTTCTATTAAATAGCTGCTAACTTAAACACAAAATTGTATAACTGATCAAGATCAACATATTACATGAGTGGTCGTGAATTAATATTTTTTAAAAATGCCCTACTTGGCTATTATTATTATTTTTTCGAATAACAAGTGATTACAGTTTATCTTTTATTACTCGCAAAATAAAAAAATCCTCATCACTAAGGTCGTTCTAAATATTTTTGTTCCGATTTCCTACATTAAACATTCAAAACTCTTAATGGGATACAAATAGCTTGCCAGTAAGGAAAATGATTCCATAGCGATCTCATTTATAAGTATAAAACTAAACTGTTACTCAACAACTTGTGAGGTGGACCATACAAACTACTCGTACCACTAATTCCAGAGTATCACTTTTCAGGAAAAAAAGATCCAAGAAAAAAACTTGAAAGAAAATAAATGAGCACTCAAAACTGTAAACACCCTAGGGCATATGGCTTCCAAGTAAAATACAAGAATATAAACTGTTTAGTCAATGAATTTTATTTTGGTTAATTTAAGTATAAAAGCTTGAGTCTGTAATTTTATTTAACTTTTAGCTAAAAATTTAAAAGTTATTTAGAGTTGTTTACATCTAAATCCTTTTCTTTTTTTCTTTTTCTTTTTTTTCCCTAAATGAAGAAAACAAATTATAAATGGAATAGTATAGTACAAGGCAAAAAATGAGGGCATACCCTCACAGTAGACACAAGAACCCTAACAACAGCAATGACCTAGTTAGATAAAAAAAAACTTTGGGTCAACCCAAACATATATTTACCTTATTTGAAAATTAATTTCAAATATCAACAATTTGCATCTATATAATGTCACAGACCTAGAATATAAGTTGTGAATTGAAAATTATATATGTAACGCTCATAAATTGGATTGAATATGCAATCTTGGATTGAATGTGCAAAATAGATGAAAAACCCAAAAGAAACATATAAACCCATATTAGAATCACAGATTATGAACATAAATTAGATGGAAAATTACCTCAAACCCTAGATTCGTTCTTGAGAGAGAGAGAGTGAAGGAGGGAGAGACAAACCCTAGGTCTAGCTTGATTCAAAACCGAATAGATTTGGTCATTGAGAAACGAAGTGGAGAATACAAAGGAACGGGGCTGCTGCTTCGCTAGTTAGAGAGACAGAGAACGGGCCGCACTTCGCCATTACAGAGAGGGAGAGATAGAGGGCGCACGAATGAGGGTTTATTGGCCTTGCTTAAATTGGATGGGTAAATAAAAAGGGCAATAAGGTAAATGTGTTGGAATAGGGAGAAGGGTATTTTAGGTAACACAATATTTTAAACATTAAAAGTTCATGTGTCATGTCATCTTTTTAGTCAATCTCATTTTTTTTAAAATATAGGACTTTGACTCAACCACTTGGGTAAATACAGAGTCTTAATCCCATTTATATACAAAAATCCCTTTTGTCTACCATGAGAAAGTAACATACCTAAAGTGTCATAAAAATTGGTCTAGTACTAATCCTTTTTCTTTTGAGCAATTCTGAATTCTGTACCGGCTTCTGCACTCTTCCAATCAAGTGGGTCCTTTGAATTGGTTAAAGCTCTACCATTTCTAAATAAAATGGTTGGAAGATAAAAAATCAAATAAACAAATTAAAACCTTCGTTCTATGGAAAAGATAGCCTCCTAAAAGAACTCAAGTTTCTATATGGGTGACCAGTAAGTGATGCAATGTTTAACTTCTTCACAACCGCTTCCCTCCCACTTTTTTTCCCAGCATCATGTCATATTAGCTCACTGAGAAAGCACCCAAAAAAGAGAAACAAATTTTATATGGGAAGAAGGGACCATCAAATGCCATTCATACGCCAACGGAAATGTTACGGTATTTCTAAACGAAATGAATTCGATAATTAATTCTGAATGAAGTAAGTAATTGTCCAATTAAGTGAGTGTTATAGCCCAATTTGGATTTCACTTATAAGAACAATTTTGGTGTAAAATGGAGTTAAATTTTAAGTGACATATTTCACTTATCACTTAACGATAACACTTAAAATTCAAATAAGTAATAAAGAAATTATCAAATTTACAATTAGCACTTACAACTTTTAATACTTAGAAATTCAGCTCTTAGAAATTCCAATACTTGAGGCCTGAGGTCATTGCGTGGTATATTGGTTTGAATCTTTGAGGGATCAATCAAATCCTTTGCGTAATTAAAGGCTCTATCTTTAGGAATAAAAGCACATGCAGTCCTCTATTCACAAGAAACCACCTGATGAGTGTGTGTGACACTTGTGAACAACGATTCAATTCATAATTACCAATAATACTACTACATGTGTTGACAAAATAATGAACAGTTCAAATTCATAATATCATTAACATGTCAAATCAACTATATTACATAATAGTTACAATTAAACTAAATCAGAAAGAAAACAAAAGAGGAAAAGAAGAATTAAACGAGTGGATCGCAAAAAACTCAAGTTCAACCCTGCTTTGAGTTCGTGGTAGAGCCGTCATCGAAATAAACTTGCCACATTGGATGTCGATTCGACATCAGAATAATTAAGGTTAGGATTGTTGAGAGAAGAGAAAACACAAAAAAATAAAAGAAATAAAATTTTTCTATTACTTGTCTGGTTCATGTAAACTGAGGACTGCATTTGCCTGGCGGTGGGGTGATTCAAGGGACCCGATGCGACCAATGTCGGGGGAAAAAAATTCATATAACACTACAAAAAATTAGTTTCTTTACAAAGCTGGTTTGGGACAACAAAGCTCTCCTAGGCAAGTGGTTGTGGAGATTTGGGAATGAGAGGCAAGTGTTGTGGAGGTGGATTATTGCTTGCCTCTATAGGGAAGAGGGGGGTGGATGAAAGTCTAGTGAGGTGACTCATTCAGCTGGTGTGGGTGTTTGGAAAGGAATTCGGAAGGGATGGGATGAGTTTTCAAAACGAATTAGGTTTAAAGTCGGGAATGGGAGTCAGATTAGATTTTGGAAGGATTTATGGTGTGGAGATGCAGTTTTGGAGAATAGATTCCGACATTTGTTTAGGATTGTTGTGAATCAACATGCCATGGTTGCAGACTATTGTCGACTTGATAATGGGATAGTAACTTGGAATGTGTTATTCGGTAAATGTTTTAATGATTGGGAGCTGCTGGAGATAACAGATTTTATGGGTTTACTGTATCAGCAAGCACTAAAGTGGGAGGACATGGATGTAGTGGTGTGGGAGGGTGGATCTAAGGGGGTGTTTGAGGTACGGCTATTTTTCCTTGGAAAGCTGTTTGGAGGACTTCAGCAGCACCGGTTAAGGTAGCCTTTTTCACTTGAACGGCGTCTCTTGGAAGCATTCTTACTCTGGATAATCTAAGGAAAAGGCACCAGATTGCTATTAATTGGTGCTTTATGTGCAAAAATGCAGGGGAATCTGGTAATCATCTTTTGTTACATAGTCCTGTTGCATCGGAAATCTGGGCCATGTTCTTGGTTTTATTTGGTGTGGATTGGGTTGTTTCCGAGGACACGAAAGGGAGGATAGAGGCTTGGCATGGTCGGCAAGTGGCTAAGAGAGTTAGAGATGTATGGAGGGTTACTCCGCTCTGTTTGTGGTGGGGCATGTGGTGTGAGAGAAATAGGGCAACTTTTGATGGGAGTTGAATCTCCTATTTGGGTGATTAAATCAAATATTTTGCCCTCTATTTATTTCTGGGCGATCGGGAGAAGCTGTCCATCGACTTTTTTGATAGGTTTTATGGACAACTTCTCTCTATAGTGGTGTCTTTGTTGTCTTAATTTTTTTTTTTTTTTTTTTAAGGTAAGGTAAGCTTGTATATATAAGGAAAGGAGATAAAAGAATGTACATGAAAGTCCCAATCGGACCTCAAAACAAAACAGGCAAAAGCCTACAAAAGGCTAGCATCAACAACTGAGCAAGGAGTATCTGCAAAGAAACATTCCTAGTCTCAACAAGAGGATAACTTCAACTGAGGAACAAAGCATCATCAACTAAGGAATGAGCCAAGTATGAGTAGAGGTTCTACAAATCACTGAAGGATAAAATTTGAGTAAGGTCTGAACCACATCTCAGGGTCGAATGCTTGATTTAATCAGAGAAATTATGTGATGTGGAGAACCAGATTTGTTCTTGAAAGTCCAAAGAAAGTAAAACTTGTTGTCTTTATTTTTTTGTAAAGTGTTCGCTACCCTTTTCTGCTTCTGCTGAACAATTTGCTGAATAAGATCGCCTGCCTGTGTTTAATGGGTTTACCACTTTACCTATCAAAAAAGAGAGATTCATTTTAAAAGTAAAATTAAAAAGCTTTTCAGTTAAGCTAGATAACCTAATCGCATGTTAAAATGGTGCCAATGACCATCCTATCTATTCAATAGAAATAATAATAATAATAATAATAATAATAATAATAATAATTTTCTTGAGCCAACAAAATATGATAATATTTTCAATAAATTATGATATAAATTTGTAAAATTATCACAATAAAATGTAATATCTCATCAGACAAGTAGAATATGGTAAAAAAACAACACACTTACAATTTTCCGATTCCACTCATTTCACTGAGATTTTCCCGTCACAGGAAGTAAACCTATATTAAGGGGACAAAATTCAAACACTTCAGAAACTTCGGAGAGATGTGGGAACTGGACTTTAATAACAATCAGAAGTTTTTTCATTCTTAAAAACAGAATAATAATAATAATAATATTTAGGAAAAAGAATAATAATAATAATAATAACAGAAAGCAGAAGAATATGAAGCCAATAAACTTGAATCGAGTTCAAAATGATTAAAGAAAGCAAAGCACAATCTGAATTGAGTAACATATCATCAAAGACCTAAAAATTTCAATCAAGAATCTACTAAGGAGGAGAAGAATAGGTTGAGTTAGCGAGACCTGATGATTGAGGAGACATGCTTCTTAGAAGCTCAGAATCGCCACCAACTAACTCTCAGAATCGCCGCAACCCTAACCCTAACAGTGAGACAGTGAAAATGGGTTTACATGATACAACCATATATATCTATATATATATATAATATTAAGGTAAAAAATGTTACATTCAGGTAAAAAATAATAAAAATAATAATAATAATTACGTTACCCGATAAAATCTAAAAGAGACTCTTTCCGTGTATTATTGCTTCCTTTAGAGAAGTGGCAAAATGTATCATTAGATTCATTTTGCTCGTCTAAAACATGGTAAAATAATATATATATAAAGAATTGTTTTTGCATCTCTTATATTATTTGATTGTAGGAGTATTTTTAGTGTGATTAATTTTGTATGTCTTAATCTAAATTTGAATAAGTATTGACAATTATATTTATTTTAAAAATAAAAATTGATTACACTTTAATAATAGTGTGTGTGTATATATATATATATATATATATATATATATATCAATTAGTTGATACTTTCGTGAATCGTATGGCGCAAGGTTTTGAAATTTCAATTCAAATTCCAAATTTTTCATGCTAAAAGGGTTCCAAACGAATCAAGTTCTGAAATGTTTAGGCCCGGCTCGTCACAATCTAAGGTATACTCAATAAATAGAAATTTATATTCTATATTTCTATATCAAAAGCACAAAGTGTTTGAAATCATTTACTTAATAATAATAAAGTAGTAGGAAATACTGAAATTCAATAATTTTATGTTCCTAGGGAAAGAAAGAAGAGTGGTGGAAGGAAATTAAGAAGCAAGAAGGAGATGATATAAAGAAAGAAATGATATTCTTCACAAATTTTTATCAGCCTAAATATGGGCGGAAGATAGGAGAAAAGACAAGTGACCCTATTATAGAAGTTTTAAATTAGTACATAACACTTCATAAATATTTAATAAATCAAATTAAATTATCAGCTTGTTTCATTCTCTTCTATCCAACGAACAAAAATAGGAAAATACTTATCTTTTCTCTAGGGATGTCTCAGTTATTTCTTCTTCTCTCCCTTCCATTCAATTCAAATTTTTTCCCTTCTTACCAAACAAAGCATTAATTTTTTTTTTTTTTTGGACGTACATACACAGTTGGTGAATTTGGATAATTCCAGTTCCAGTTCTATTACACACCGATTTATTGGTATGCATACAGATTCACATAAGAATCGGCCAATACCTTGCCAAAACAGTCAGTATGGCCTTACCGGTATGCTCTCTTAGAGAACACGCCGGTTTGGAAGTGGACAAAAAGATAATAAAAAAAGAAGAGAAGTTTAAAAAATAATTTAATTTATTTTTTTAAGTTTTGCACTTTTAACCATTTTGGGTCCAGGTTAGTTACTGTGAATGCAAAATAAAAAATTTGCAACTACTTTCTAAAATATTACAATACTAATTTAAAATGTCCCTTTTTTATTTTATTTTATTTTACTTTACTTAATTACAGTTTGCTAATTTGATATCACGTCCACTGCAAGAGCTCTAGAAGTTGCGGTCTTGATTTGCAGTACCGAGTTTGATACTGTGACTACGAGGGTGCTCATAGCCCGGTTAGGTAAAATTCTTGGCGGAATCGGAATATGAAATTAGAACCGTAACCATTGGGATATGGAACCGAAACAATCGTCAGTTGCATCACTGGAACTGTCATATGAAAATGATGAACATGATGCTAGGATGTGATGATGGTGAAGGTGAAGATGATTGAGAAAACAGGTCAGCCCTATACAAGATAATAAGAAGCCAATCACCACCTGATGCTGATCCCTTTACAATACTGAAAGAAAAATACCGTGTGATGTACTTATGGCCTATGTCATTATTCTACATACATACATACATACTCAAACTGGTATTCTCATGCTTGATGGCCCAAACATTTTGCACTAAACCATAGTAAAAGTTGAAATGCATTTGAATAGTTTACAGCTTCCACAATTTTCCCCCAGAATAGGTTGTAATGGTGGAGTTCAAACAAACGCATATTGCCAGTTTCCGGCTATTATGTTGGTAGATTCCGGTCACTAATCAGAAATAAAAGAATCATTATGTCTTTCTAACTAAAGCAGTGTGTCTTCCACTCAAGACTTGTGTGCTCGGCATTGCTACTGTACAGAAATTTTGTTTAATAACACACCAAAAGGCGTAAGGTTCTTCTTTGTCTGGCAAAAATCTCCAGCACAGCTATACCTATCCGACCTTTCCGAGAGGCAGGGTCGATGGTAGTTGCTTTTTTGGCGAGACGGCATTTTTCTTCCTTCATGTGCTTCTTGCTGGAATTGCCATTTTTGCATTCAATCAACACATCTATTGCTTCAGACAGAATGGAATAAGCATCTTTCGACACCATCCTTTTCATTTCTTAAACAGAATTTCTTAATTGCCAAAAAATGAATATATATATATATAAAGCAATTAAATGAAAAAGAAACATCGCATCTCAGAGAGAATTTGACGATGTCGTGCAAAATTATGAACGTTTCTTCAGTAACCATAAATTGCCCTACATGCTAGTAAAAAAAATACCACCACTCGAAGCATCAACGCTTGCAGAAGTTTAGCCCCTGCAGGAAGGGGCCTTCAGTGCAAATACCAGTTCTACTGATTTATTCTTAGCTTTAAATCATGACATGATCTATTGCCTGAATTGCTTGGTTTGCAAAATAGCGGACGTCAACATCTGGATCCTCGGCAAGGTCAACCAAACAGGGACATATTGTCTTCTCTACTACCTGCATTGCAAATAATTTCAGGAAAAGAACACAATAACTGAAAAGAAATCGATTACTCGAGATTTATGCTTAGTGTAAAATAAAAATCATCAAACTTCAAAAATATTAGTTTCTCACTGAATGATCAACAACAGGAGTGAGTGACTGCAACACCTTCGCCACATTGAACCGGATATTTGGCACTCTGCATAAAGTGAAATTTAGGCCCATTTCAAAACCACCAAGTACCATAACAGAACCTTGGTGGATAAATACAAATAATGAGCTACCTGTCTTTTGATGAAGCAATGACCACAGGCAGTAACTTTGAAAATGTGATTTCTGGACCCATGATGGGGGCCATGAATGAAATTGCACGCAGTATGGTCATCCGATATAAGTAGTGTGGATTGTTGATCATATCCAAGACCTGCACACAAGCCAATGGTTATTCACTACAAGGACGTAAGATAAACCACAAAAATTCAAACAGAACAAAACTATTCATTAATAGTGAATAAACACGAGGATTCAGACGGAACAAAAACAACCAATAAATGGCACAGTGAAGAAAATTTAAACAGGCATGTCAACAAACTGAAGCAGAACGAATTTACTATTGAATGCAAGTTTGTATCCTGTGATTTCGTTTGAATCCGGCTTATGATAGAATGGCATCACAAAAAAATGTTGACCTACTGACCAGTTATTGACATTGTGCACTGCTACAAAAGACAACAGTAACCACTAGCCTGTCAGGAGGACTGATTCCACTCAACCTATGGACTTCAGAAGCAATGCAACCATTAATGACTATACAGAAATGAGAAGTTGGCTGCACAGAATATATTGTTAAATTTTGAAATATTTAAGCCAAAACCCAAGGATTGACAGAATTACCACTAAAAAAATCACACTAATCCCAAGGGTCAAAGTTCGAGAAAGTGGTAGAATTTTCTATCAAAAGTCATCTGACCTGTGGAACAATGTGCTGCATTGCCCACTCTGGACCAAATTCTTCTGCAAGGCGCTTTAAGTTATTAGCAGCAGCATCTCGAATTGCGTGAACCTGCACCAAGTACCCAAAACTATAAGCCAAAAAATGTTTGTCAAAATTATATCTAAACCCATTCATGTTTATATCAATATAGCTTGTTTCTTTTCGAAACTATGTATTAATAGTATTATGGTTTATGTAAAGTATAGGCAACATTTCCATCGCAAACCTGCCAAGGCCTTCAACACTTGCTGGTAAAATAAATAATAATGTCGAGTAGGAAACATAAAACAAATTTCCTAGGTTGCATTTAGTAACGAGAAACGTTTCTTGTTTTCTGCTATCAACCTCTAAAAAGGCAAAACGAAAACAAAAATCGCGTTCAATAAAATGTTTTTGTTTTTCTATGACATAAAACGTTTTCAATTTTTGGGAAGAAAAGAGGAAACATAAAAAGGATGTTTCCTATGTTTTCGGCATTGTAGCGCAGAAATGTTTTCACTAATGTTACTACACAGGCACTATTCATTTCAAATAAAATTCATATTATTTGTGTTATATACTAAGTTGCATATTAAATGTTAACAAAAATATATATTTTTAACATAGAATATATTAAATATTGTTTATTATTTTTTATTTGATAAAAATATATTTTAATATATAATATATTAAATAATAATGTAAATTATTTTTTGTGACAAAATAATTTTTGATATAGAATATAATGTTATTAAATTACTAAGCAGTAGATATTTTATATTATTATATATCATATCTATATTATATTATATGTAAATATTAATTTATAATTAATTTACAATATTATAACACAATATATATTTTATTACATATAAGATATATTATTTTATATTTTTTATTCATAATAAATTATCATATGCTAAATATATTATATATCACATAATAAATGTATACATTATGCATATACATGTATTTATATATATAATTGGTGGGAATGTTTTTGTCTTGGTATATCTAATTTTGTACTTGTGATGTATTGGGTATTTTTAAGATTTATAATTTTAAATTAGATTTTCTAGATTTATGGCTTTTTGATACTAATGGAAGCAAGTGTCGTGGGTTGCTCCCTGTGTCCGAGAGTTCGTGTTCAAGTCATCTACCCTCCCCCTCACCTTTAATCACTAACTCCTAAAATTCTTGTCATGAAAAAATTAAAAAATAAAATAAAAAATTTAAAGAATATTATGTACATTTTGTAACAAATATGTATGTCGTATTACTAAACACTATTATTGTTTTATGTTTTCAAATTTGTGGCAACAACAAGTGTTAATAAATATCATTTCTGCTTTCTATTTTCACTCAAGAAAGCAAAATCTTGTTTCTGCTTTCTTAAGACTGCAAAAACAAAAAAAGAAAACGTTACTAAACGCACCCCTACTAGTTACCATAGAAAATGCAGCCTAATTTTCACTGGTTCAAACATTCATCAGATACAATAATGATCATACATTTGCCTGATATTTTGTTCAATCAACTTTAGTAACAGATTACCACCAGGCCACTAGTCTAGATGATATAAGCTCATCTTTAAAGGGAAAGTGAGGGGTTCGAGCCCCAAGTGGGACAAAATTGTGTGTTTGAGTTACTAATAGATGATCAACTATCCCAGCTATAAAGAGTTCACATTCAATCTTCTTATATTAACCTCCAGAATTTTGGTTCTCATACATTTCAATTGCTTTTTTTTTTTTTTTTTTCCTAGTTGGAACTCACACACACTTGTCTCTTCTGAGAGTTGAACCCCAGACCTCCCTTTGGGAGGTAAGAGGCTAATAACGCTAGGCCACTGGCCTGTTGATCATACATTTCAATTGCTTACAAGTAACACAATAAAAAATCACCAACCTTGTCCTGTAACCACTGCATACAGAGAGCACCAAGCTTATCGTCAAAAAACCCTACACCCAACTGACTTGCCAATAAAGGTACATACTCTATTATTGCAAGCCGGACCCTCCAATGTCTATCCTCCGCAAGCTCAACAATAGCTGGTAATAGAGACTGGGACAGAAGATCGATTCCAATAACCTGCACAAATAGTTGACTTCATGATTTGAAAGAATATTAACTACATGCTGTGGCTAAAAGTACAGAGTGTGAAAATTTTAAATTTTAAAGAAGCCATGGACACGTAAAAATTTAAAAGTAGGTACAGTGATAAGAGATGAATAAGTGATAGATTGCCATCAGTCAAAACCATTCAATAACCGCAGCAATGATAATTGTAAGGACAAAGTTGTTAGAATTGATCATAAAATTAATAACAATCTGCAAATTTGCAGTGTGTATCAGAAAAGTGAATAGCATGGATGAATTTTATATCTCCATCTACTAACTGTCAGCAATGCATGAAAGCATTTTATTGTTGTGAGAATTTTTTGCAAGATTTTGGAACCATCTGAAAAATCAAAAGCATGAGTGAGTTCATATCCCCATGTGCATTCACTAAGCATGGAAGTATATGAGAATTGATATTTCATCCCCAACTAATAGCGCTATGATTTAAGGCATTTCATTTTGTCCATTGAAACCAACTGTACTGCTACCAGAGTGTTTCGATGCAATGTTTCGGATTTCCCTCTACAAAAGAATATTTATTTATCATAGATGCATGCTCACATATATAACAAATTACACTGAATGATGTATGATAACATTGCCTACATAGTTAATTCGTCATTCATCAAACAATGATACAAGTCCAATAAAGTAAAACTGAATTGCCCATTCCAATTCATCATATAAGATCATATCACCATTCCCTACAAGAAGAAAAAGAAAACCATCCAAAGAACTCCATTTATGATTCTATGTACCTGTAATTATAATGTAACAGATAAATAAGTGAATTAAAAAACAGAATATTTGTTAATTTGTATTGTATCCATCACAGTACCACCATGTGCATGTGTGTGTATGAGAGAGAGAGAGAGAGAGAGCAAATTTTACAGAGACCAAAAGTTTTTTTTTTTTATCCGCAAACTTGGCTACTGGCTAAGGTTGTATTTGCACTGTTGCAACAGATCTTAAGGAAATACACTAAGGTACTAACCCACAGTAGCAGCAAAGTGAAGGAGTGACCCAGTCGTCAGACAGTCTCTCTTTACCCCCTTTAAACTTAATCCCACTAATTATATCAGGCAGAGAATCAATAAGTCTACTCTTTGTCGGCAGCTCAACGTCTTCATGTTGTATTTTATCACTTCATTGTAAAAGGTCTTATATTGTTGAAATTTACTAAAAAACATGATACGCACGCATCACGACCCAACCAGAAAAGTCACTGTCAGAGACACCAGAATGGGAGAAATTTGCATGAACAAACTGGAACTTTTTGCAAAATAAAGCAAGGCCTCGTCTGCTTTGTTTTTTTTCCAAAACCAGCACATTCCAACAGGAACAGGTGGTGTAGGGTATCCTGGTGCCAAACTGATATAAAACCAGAATGAAAGAAGGGGATGAGAATGAGAAGATGAGACGAGGCTAGAAGAAGGACCTGAGATAGAAAAAGCGGTGAGGAGATAGACTGAGGGATTGAGGATAGCAAGAACAAAGAGGGAGAGAGAGGAACAAAGAGGGAGAGTTTGCAAACTCACAATAATAATTCAATACTCAGAAAAATAAATATTCTGAATACATATTAGCCTTTATATAGACAAATTATTAAGCAAACCCTAAAACATAAAAGTACCAAAATTACCCAAAATTACCAAAAATAACAATAAGCATAAATAAAAACCCTAATTTACTAAAATCTCTTCTCCAATAGTAAGTGCGGGTCATATAAGGTTCCAGCTCTTGGGTCGTGCCTTGGTCTCCATCAACAGGTTTGAACAGACTCTATGGATCAAATAACTCCACAATTATTGCACATGTGCACTTCACATGCGATTTCAACTACTGTACACGGTGTCTTTTTGCGTCATTTGCTTGAAAATAAAAATAAATAAATAAAATGGATATGTGCACATGCCCCCCATTCCATCCAACCAGCTACATGTGTCCCAGTAAAAGAGAAAGAATAGTAAATAGATGTTGGATGTAGCTGCCTAAGATAATTGGTGCATAAGAAGATATTATCTGAAAAGGGAAAATGAGAAAACTGTATATGTGCACATGCAATCCATCCCCTCCAAACAACTTCACATGTCTCACTAACTGAAAGAAAGCAGCAAATAGATGATGGATATTGCTACCTAAGATAATTGATCCGTAAGCACAATAGTGTTCCTGGAGGTTCTACAGTTTTTATTAGCAAGCCCTCAAATCACTATGATTTAAGCGGCAAGAGAAATTCCTCTCTTTATAAACTTGCCAAAGTAGGTGATGGAACATCCCCAGCTATATTGGGCAAAGGGCGGGATCGAGTAGTAACTGATGGCAACAAATAAAAGAACTCAGCAAAAAGTATAGCAGAATGAGGTCCAACTCCTTAAAGTTTCACAAACCTGATTAACTTGATCAAGCTTGCTAATAATATTGAGGCGCACATCAGGAAATTCATCCTTCAGAAGGGAAAGAAATATTGGAAGAAGCTGCTCAATTGTTGCATCCTGCGTGAACCACAAAGTTTAGAAACTCGATCCAGTCTAGCAATTCAAGAATACTGCATAGTACCTAATAAGAAATTCGGAATTCAAATTTACACAATATTCAAAAACATTAGACGAAGATTGTATCACTCAGATTCTCTCTTAGATAAGGAAAACAATAAATAAATAAATATATATATATATATATATATAAATTCTAATTTCTGATAAACCAAATAAAATTTAGGATAACACTATATAATATATATACATGTCCAATTTAAATCATGACATGCAACAAAATTCTTGTTCTTTTTGGCGCAAAATAAATAAATACAGTCACAAATGTTAAGTATTCTAAAGGGATGGAATATTTTTACCTTTCCTAAGACAGTAGCCATTCCCATTATTACCGAAGCCAAAGCAGAACGAACATGCTGGGAAGAGTCTGATGACAATTCCTACAAATTGTGTAAACTGATGACATGGCTGAAGTAAAGACAATATCTAGGGAATACAAAGTTCATGAACAAACAGGTAACATTAAGTATATGACTGTGTGTGTGTGCGCGTGTCTGCATTAACGCGAATATGTGTGTGTGTGTGTGTGAGAGAGAGAGAGAGAGCCATTTCACAGACACCTTAACACATGGAAGGATGTGCTGAATTGCAAGTTCTGGATTAAGAATCCTGCAAAACTTGGTTACTTTGCCAGCAGCTGCTATACGTACTTCAGCTTCATTATCACGAAGTAAGCGCACATATGCAGGAACCAATTCTGACCTGAAAACAAAATTATGATCACCATCAATTGGATGTCTCATAAAAAATAACAAGGACAACCATTATTTCAACACCAAAATATATGAAACTGAATTAAATCAAATATAACAGGATCTTATATAAAAGAAAGCAAATGACCAAGATAAGTTGGGAAACTAAAGCACTTCCATTATATTTCACATAATTTCCCAAGATAGTAAATAGAATAGATGGTGAATGGAATAAATGTAACTGAAATATAATGTAGCAAATTGAGACGTGCAGCAAAAGTGTGGCAAAATGACAGCTTCATGATAGATGGATACCTGGTAGGCTCAGGCCCCACAGCTTCACAAAGCTCATATAATTGATTTGCAACCATGTAGCGTACACGCCAAGATTTATCCTGTTTAAGAACAAGCGGATCATTGGTATCTGTGGTGAAATGAATTCAATTATATTGAATCTGTTAATATCTTTACAAGAGCCTATGTTGGGCTATATATCAGAAATCACAGAGAGAAAAATCAGCAACTAACTTAATTTTGAAAAACCCTATAATTAGGAATCCCTGATTCTCTATCAATCAAATCCCTGAACTCTAGGAAACAAATATTTACACAAATCCCTAAACTCTAGGAAACAAATATTTACACAATTCTAGTGCTAACCTACCACTAATCAAGGAGACTAACTCGTATTTTTCCACACTCCCCTCAAGCTAGTGAATAGGTGTCAACCATTCCCAGCTTGGAAATAATTTCTTGGAAGATAACACGGTTGAGCCCCTTTGTAAGAACATCTGCCAATTGACCTCTCGTGGGAACGTATGGTGTGCAAATTAATCCGCTTTCTAGTTTTTCCTTGATAAAATGCCTATCTGTCTCAATGTGCTTAGTTCGGTTGTGTTGCACTGGATTATGTGCAATGTTGATTGCTGATTTATTGTCACAGTAGAGTCTCATTGGCCCACTCCATTTAATCTTCAAGTCTTCCAGTATAATCTTCAGCCATAACAACTCACAGACACCTTGTGCCATTGCTCTAAACTCAGCTTCTGCACTTGACCGGGCTACAACATTTTGCTTCTTGCTTCGCCATGTTACCAAATTGCCTCCAAGGAATGTACAATAACCTGAAGTAGACCTCCGATCCATAGGGGACCCTGCGTAATCTGCATCTATGTAGGCTTCAAGGACAAGCTCAGAATTTCTCTTGAACGTTATCCCCTTCCCAAGATTAGCTTTCAAGTAATGAAGCACATGGTAGGAAGCTTGAAGATGAATCTCCTTGGGGTCATGCATGAATTGGCTGATGACGCTAACAGAATATGCTATGTCTGGCCGGGTGTGGGAAAGATAAATGAGTTTTCCAACTAATCTCTGGTACATCTCTCTATCTACTGCTTGATCTCCAATAGCCTCTCCAAGTCTATGGTTTGGCTCTATAGGTTTTGCAGCTGGTTTGCTTGCGAGCATTCCTGTTTCCTTAAGAAGATCGGTGACATACTTTTACTGCGAGATGAAGATACCTTGTCTAGAATGAGCCACTTTTATCCTTAGAAAATACTTCAATCTCCCCAAATCTTTTATCTCGAATTCTTTGATCAAACATTGTTTCAAGGCTTGCTTCTCCTTCTCATCATTTCCAGTCATAATTATGTCGTCCACATAGACTGTCAAGGTCGTGACTTTCCCTGAAACTGAGTGTTTGATGAAAAGAGTGTGATCTCCCTGACTCTGCTTGTATCCTGTAGCTAACATCACCTTAGTAAATCTCCCAAACCAAGCATGAGGCGATTGTTTTAAACCGTATAAGGCCTTCCTTAACTTGCATACCTTGTTCCCTTCAACTCCTCCAAATCCTGGCGGGATGCTCATATAGATTTCTTCTTCCAGGTCACCATGTAGAAAGGCGTTCTTCACATCGTACTGCTATAATTCCCAATTAAAATTGGCTGCTAATGACAACAAGATCCTCACAGTGTTCATTTTTGCAACTGGAGCAAAGGTCTCTTGGTAATCAACTCCATATGTTTAAGTGTACCCCTTAGCAACTAGCCTTGCTTTGTAGCGCTCTAACGATCCATCAGCCTTATATGTCAAGGTAAAAACCCACTTACACCATACTGCCTTCTTTTCGTTTGGTAGATCAACCACCTCCCACGTCCCATTTTTTTCCAATGCGTCCATCTCAACTCTCATTGCTTTCCGCCATTCTTCATTAGATAATGCCTCAGATAAAGTGCTTGGAGTAGAGATTTCATTTAGACTCGTAAGAAAACTCCTATGGGCTGGTGAGAATTTCTTGAAGGATACATAATGAGATAGAGGGTATAATGGTCGTTTGGTACACTCTCGAGTTCCTTTCCTCACGGCTATGGGCAAATCCTGGTCAGTTATTTGAGGTCCAGGGAGCTCGTGTTCTATAAGTGGAGTAGGTTCAGATACTGTTACCTCATTCTCAGGAATCAGGTTAGAGATTTGGGCCTGCATCGGATCAGGAGCTGGACCTTGCTTCCTCGAGTACACCTTCCCTTTCCCATACCATACGTGATCAAGAGTCATATTATCCTTCATAGGAGACACGACAGGAGACATAGGTGACAAAACAAGAGATTTAGGCTCAGGTACTGAGTTGGATTGAGTGTTTGATACAGGTGATGGTGAACGAGGCGAAGACGGTGAAGCGAGCTGGAAAAAATCCTTATCTTCTATGATAGATGACTCCCCCTGAAGATAAGGTTCAATAAAATACGGTTTCCTTTCCGCAAAAGTGACATCAGCTGAGATATAAAGTTTCCTGGTAGGAGGATGAAAACATTTGTAACCTTTTTGTGTGGACGAGTATCCCACAAACACACACTTAATGGCTCTAGGATCTAATTTGCCCCGGTTGTTACGATGGGCATGAACAAATGAAGTGCACCCAAATATCCTAGGGGTAAGGTTGTTTGTGGCACTAAGGTCGGGGTAGAATTTAGAAAGGACTTCCATTGGACTTCTTGACCCTAAAACCCATGAAGGAAGTCTATTAATGATGTAGGCAGATGTAAGTACTGCTTCCCCCCAATAGTGTTTTGGTACATTTTGATGAAACAAGAGTGCTCTAGTAGTGTTTAGGAGATAACCGTTTTTCCTTTCAGCTACTCCGTTTTGTTGTGGAGTATTAATGCAAGATGACTCATGAATAATTCCTTCCTTTTGAAAGAAGGGTGACAAGACTTGATTGAAGTAATCCCTCGCATTATCAAACCTAAACCTCTTTATTTTGGTACCAAACTGATTGTGGATCATTTTATGGAAATTGAGAAAGATATTACTCACATCTGATTTGTTTTTGAGTAAAAATATCCAAGAGACTCTAGTGCAATCATCGATAAAGGACACAAACCACCATGAACCAGAAACATTTGGGACTGTGGAGGGTCCCCATATATCACTGTGAATTAAATAGAAAGGGGAGGAACTTCTTTTATTGCTAATGGGAAAAGCTACACAAGTGTGTTTTGCATACTCACAAATATCACGAAATGTCCAATATTTAATCCCTTAAACAAAGAAGGAAACATGATTTTTAGAATTGAAAAAGATGGATGTCCGAGACGAAAATGATGCAACCATATGACATCTTTATTGGAAGAAGAGAGAAACAAAGAGGATAAATTTGTCCTGATCATACTCGGAAGGCTCGGTGTCTCAAGGTAGTAGAGTCCTTCCTTTTCCGTAGCACGTCCAATCCTCCTTCCTGAATCTTGGTCCTGAAATTCACAGTAAGAGGGATAAAACGTAACATGACAATGTAAGTCTCTAGTAAGCTTTTGAATGGACACAAGGTTAGCGGACAATTTAGGAACATGTAAAACATTTTTAAGAACAAGACTAGGAGTGATATGGATATCTCCTACACCAGCAACCGTGGTTGTGGTTCCATTAGCAACAGTGATTTTCCTATTGCTAGGACATGGGGTATAAGTGCTGAACTGGTTTGAGGCATATGTCATGTGGTCCGTGGCTCCCGAGTCTATGATCCATGAATCCATAAACAATTTATCAGAAACATTTAATCCAAGGGAGAATAAAGACTCACCTGAGAGGGCTAAAGAACAAGCACCAGAAGATGGTTTCTCAAGGGTTCCAGCAAGTTTCTTAACTTCTCTATTTCTTCACCGTCGAATCCTCCATATTCTTTTGCCTGGACCTGACCCACCTGTGAGGTCATATAGGCTTGTCCTTGTTGCTGTCCTCCTTTGTTTCCCCATTCTCAGCTGGATGTGGGTGGTTTCCCGTGTAATTTCCAGCAACGATCCCTGGTATGTCGCGACTTTCTACAGTATGTACACCAGAGATTATCTCGGTTTGCCCCCTTTGATAATTCCGCCTTTCCATGTTTAGCTTTTTGCGGTTATTCTAGAGTGAAACCCCACTTGTTGTCACCAGAGACTACGAGTGCTGAGCTGTCAATCGATTAAGGTTCAAGCACGATTCCTCTCCGACTCTCTTCAGCCCGAATCAATGAAATCACCTCATTAAGAGATGGTACCTCCTCCTTGCCCAAAATTTGAATTCTGACTTAATCAAATTCAGAGTTTAGGCCAGCGAGAAAATCATAAACTCGATCTTTTTCAATGAAATTTTTGATAATTACAGCGCATTCGCTGCACTTCAAATCAATCACCCGGTAGTAATCCAGTTCTTGCCACTGGTTTTGCAGAAAATTGGCATACTCAGTCACGGACTTGTTCCCCTGTTTTGTAGACATTGTCTTTGTCTTGATCTCGTATACTTGCGCCGCATCACAAACCTTGGAGTAAGTCTGGTTAAGAGAGTCCCAGATGGCCTTCGCAGTTGGTAGGAACATGCATGTATCGCTGATTTTAGGTGTCATGGAATTCCACAACCAGGACATGACCATTGAGTCCTCCTCATCCCACGCTTCGAAACCTGCATCACCTTTCTTTGGTCCCGTTCCCAGCAAGTGACTTAATTTCCCTTTTCCTTTCAGAAAAGTTCGAACCAAGTGAGACCATTTCAAGTAGTTCCTTCCATTAAGTCGGTACGCCGGTTGAATATTCTGCAGTTCACTTGTGGGGCGCTGAACCTGCTCTTTCTCGGGTGACTGGGATGGTTGAACAGTAGTTTCTGACATTCTTCAACAATCGGCTATGAAGGCCGGATAGAAGGGTTATGCGAAAATTGGCAAAAGAAATTGCCAGAGAATGACTGCGATGAAGGCAAGTCACAGAGAAAATTGGCTATGAAGGCCTGAACAGAAAAAATAAAAATAAAAAAATCGCTGAATTTTTTTTCAAAGAAATCCAAGCCTTACAGCTCTGATACCATGTGGTGAAATGAATTCAATTATATTGAATCTGTTAATATCTTTACAGGAGCCTATGTTGGGCTA